TCCTTGTTTCTTAGAGCCCAATATTATTCCATTATGTTCATGTACCAAAATTCATTTAGCCATTTCCTAATGGATAGGCTTCTTTTTTTCCCTCCAATTCTTTGCTACTATGAAAAGTGCTATTGTAAATATTTTGGTGTATGTAGGGGCATTTCTTTATATCACTGACCTTCTTGGAGTATATATACCTAGAAGTGGAATGTCTGGGTCAAAGGGTGTGGACATTTTGACTACTTTATTTGCACAATTACTAATTGCTTATGAGAATGATAGGACCAATTCAGTATGCAGAGCATTAGTATGTCTTTCTATAACCCTTCTAATGTTAACTATTCCCATCTTTTTATCATCTTGGCCATTTTGCTAGGTATGAAAACTTAAGAGTACTTTGCATTTCCCTTATTAGTGATTTGGAGCATTCAGTAAGATGAAAGCCAATGGGAATAACTTTAAAGTTGTACATTTGATTCACACAATCAACTTCATAGTATAAGGTACATGATAGTAGCAAGATATGGGGAGATGAGGTTTATGGACTTGAAGTTGGCAGACAAAAAAAAAACAAGTAGCATCATAAAGGAGATGTAATGTTCAGAAGGAGGTGATCAATTCCATTTTATTCAGTCTGGGTCAAAACATATGCGCAGTACAGAGTTCCATTCTATGTACCACATTTTAGAAAAAATGAAGACAAATTGGAGTGTTTCCAGAATAAAATAACCAAGGTGGTGAGGAAGGGCCTGGAGACTAGGGGATACACGGCGATCAGTAAAAAGAACTGGGGATATTTAGCTTTAGAGAAGGGAAAAAAATTAAGGGGGGAGAAGAGGAGTTGATAACCATAGCTGTTTTCCAAAAGACAAATGAGCTGCCATGAATGGTGGTGGGTTCCTCCTCTTTGGGGTTTTCTAGGACAGTTGGATAACCACTTGGGAGAATTTTGGAGTGGGGATTGTTGGTCAGGTACAGATCCAACTAGCTATTATCTGAAGCCTCTTCCAGATATAAGGTTTTGTGATTCTAAGCTTTTCTCTCCAAGTTTCAGTAGGAAAACTAGTAACAGCAACAATAATAGTAACAGTGACTTAACATTTATGGAGCATTGTAAGGTTTGCAAAACAGTTCACGCGCATCTCACATTTTATTTTTATAACAACTCTGAGGAGTGCTGATACTCTTCCTCCCCCCATTTAACTGATGAGTAAACTGAGGCAGAGAGTGGTTAAAGTTTCTTGCCTAGGACACAGCTAGTAAATGTCTGAGGCAGAATTTAAACTCAGGTAACAAACGCATGACAACTGCAAAAAGAATGCCAACACACATCACAGCTGCTAATTTTGGCGTTTTTCAAGATGATGATAGTAGAAGATTAGGTAGTTTTTAAAGCAACCAGGAATCCGACTGTAGATGTTTTACAAATGTTCCATCATGTAGAGTGTGAGATGTGTCAATGGAAGGTCTATGTATCTGGAAATCTGTTTATATGGGGGTTAATGGTAGAGTATGTTTGGATATATGTGTGTCTTGTGTTTTACTAATGTTACTGGAAAAACCTGTCTGGGTCTTATTAGGTAATTTAATGAGACGCCTCGGGGAATGTATTCTGTCACTAATAACCTCCAAAATGAGTCTTGCAGACTTGGGACTAGGAAATAAGTCACCTATTTAATAAATTAGATTTCATTTCAGAATCCAAAGAAAATCAAAATTGCTGAGTACAATCAATAATGGACTCTCTCTCTCTCATTATAATGGCCAATTTCCTAGGGGCAAGAATATCTTAGGACAGTCATATGCTATAGTAGAAGGAAGGTAAAAACCAGTTGCTTACCTTTTCAAGGCAACTCTTCTAAAAGACAACCTCTTTTTAAAAACTTGTTGGTTTATTTTTGAAGAGCAGTAAATGTGAAATAAAAAGAAAGATTTAAGAAAAGGGGGTAGCCAGGAGGCACAGTGGATAGAGCACTGGCCTTGAAGTCAGGAGGACCTGAGTTCAAATCCAGCCTCAGACCAAAGACTTGACACTTAGAGCTGTGTGACCCTGGGCAAGTCACTTAACCCCAATTGCCTAAAAAAAATAAAATAAAAGATTTAAGAGCAATAAATGTGTTCCCCACCACCCAATAGTGGATATTTTTGTGAAAATGAAATCAGATGACACTGATTTACTTCTAGATATTCTTGAAAACTTATTCTCAGGAAGTGTAAGATATAAAGAAATGATTTAAAAGTCTTCGTTTCTAGACAGAAATGTTCCGATCCTTGCACTACACCCCCTCTGGAAAGTAACTTAGGTGAAAAAACACTTCTTTTACTATACCTCCAAAAGGGTTGTTCTATTTGATAAGTATATTCGCTTATATATGGGGGAGGGGGGAATAGACCTGTGTTTTTATTTGGTTTTTTTTTTAATCAACATAGAGAACTTCTGGTGAGGAAACTTTCTCAATGAATACAGATTATCATCTGCTCTGCAGTTTACAGTCTTAAAGAGTTTCATGGGGCACCAGAAGTGACTTGCGCAGAATCACACACTTTGTGCCAAAATTGTTCAGTCATATTTCAGTCATGTCCAGCTCTTGGTGATCCCATCTGGGGTTTTCTTGGCAAAGATACTAAAGTGGTTTGCTGTTTCCTTCTCCAACTCATTTTACAGATGAGGAAACTGAGGCAGACAAGGGTAAGTGACTTGCCCAGGGTCACACAGCTAGCAAGTGTCTGAGGCCAGATTTGAACTCAGGAAGATGAGTCTTCCTGACTCCAGGCTTGGCATTCTATATACCATGCCACCTAGCTGCACATAGGGAGTGTGCCAAAGGCAGGCCTTAAACCCATATTCCTGATTCTGAGGCCACCAGGCTGCCTCTCATAAACAGGCATGTGTAAGATAAAAGATCATTAACATTGGGACATTTTTCAAGGGACACCCCCCTTTTTTGTAGTTGGTTGGGATTTAGCAAAACTTGAAAATACATTCTCTCCTTCCGTACTGTATCCGAAAACAAAATCTAAAAAAATTTTTTTAAATGGCCTATTATTGTTGCCCATAAAATGGAAAAAGACATGCATGGAAAAAGTCCTCCAGCACATTGAGGCAGCCTCAGTGAAGGGTCTGTGGGAAGGCATGGATGAGTGTCTCATAGGGTAAGAAGGATGAACTGCATGGATGGAGAAAAGCCCCCATCAAAGACCTCAGGGATCCACAAGGTACAAGGAATCTTCCTTAAAGGAAAACAAGCCTGACTACTTCTTATTGGTTGACATTTGATTTCCCAAGAGTATCTTGTTGGTTGTAGGTGTCATTTTGAACTCTTGTCTCATACATCAAATGTAGCTCCAGTCCCATTAGAAGTGAAAGAGATGGTTGATACTAAAAATTTCTAAAATGCTTTAATGCAGTGAAAGGTTGGCTTAGGTTTTGGTGGTGACCTGCTGCCTCCCTGAGTCTGTTGGACCTAGAGGATATTCTTAGCCCACATTGTCTCCTAATAAAGCTCAAGACCTTTCCATAAGGTATCTGCTTAATTTGGGTCAATTTTGATAGAAGAGCTACTCTGAACAGGACTATTTTTTAACTTTATCTCCCAGTTGTTTTTAATCTGTGTTTTTTGGGTGTTCCTAGTTTCTTTGATAAGAAATATTTGGGGGGAGTGTTGGGTTGGGTTGGGTTTTTTTTTTACATTTTAAAGAAATATAAATTCTCAAGACATTAGCAGAGAAATATTATTTAAAGAACTATAAGAATAAAAAGCAGTAGAATATAATCTCCCAAGCAAACTTGGCTTTATTTTTCAGCCATTTATCACATGTATCACCTATATATTCTATCTCAGATGCTTCTTTATGGCAGCTGTATAAATGCCAAAGAAACTGGCTTTGGGACTCTTGGTTATGTTACCCCCATCAGCACTGCAGTCCTGTCTTCCATGAGAGCACATGCTTCACATGTTTGGAGTTGTTTGCTTATAGTAAAATCCTGTTGACTCTCTGTTTTTTAAAGACATTCTGGTGGAACACATGGATTTGTATCATCTACATAAATACAGTTGGTGATTGCCAATTTTCTAAAACTCGGATAACTTTAAAATTTGTTCTTTTAATATAGAACGCCAAGAGAGCTATTTCATCTTTAAGTTGGATTAATTCAGCTGGCCTCGAAGACCTGATGGGGAGAATGCCAGCCTTTCTCTTCCCCCACTCTCTCTTAGGTTTCCTGGGAAGCATTTGCAAATTAGGATCTGTCCATGCTGGGGTGTATGCATCACCCACTGGATCTATCCAGTGAGCTCAGTAATAACAAAAGTGACAACCCCTTGAATTCATTTTGAGCATTGCTTCTGAAGAGCCAAAAGACCTTTACATATATTATCCTTACATCATCACTGTCAGAGAGGGATGGGGCAAGTATTATAATGGCTGTAATGAAGATGGGGAAACTGGAGTTCAGGCTGATTAAATGACTTGCCCATGGTCACAGGGGGTTAGTCAGTGAGGGAGCAAGGACTAGAATCTGGGTCATTCTTGTCAGGTGTACTTATCTACCAGATGGAGTGGATTATTTCATGGCAGGTGCTGTGATTTGTATTTTTTGTGGTATAGTGAGGAGTAGGAGGAAGATAGAAGATAGAGTGGGGGGTGGGATTAATCTTTTTACCTCCCACCTTTTAGTACTCAAGCAAATCTTTCTGTCACTCTTCATATGTTTGGGAGTAATGTCGCAGGCGGAGATATGAGCCTGTCTTTGGCAGGAGAGGATGTAGAGAATGGAACCACAGGCCAACAGGGGTGTCTTACCATTCCTAATGGCTGGAAATAAAGGATGTATATCTACTTTAGACAACATAACATGCAAGGGGCAAATTCTCTGTGTCCTTGTGTGACATTTGATTTTGTTCCAATATGCTTAGTTTTAATTAGACTTTAAATAGATTTGGGTTTTTTAGGCGGGGGTACAACGACTTTTTCTAAAATTTGTGGATTTTTTTTTCTCCCTCTTACAGAACTCCATCCGTCACAACTTATCCCTACACAGTCGATTCAAAAGGGTACAAAATGAAGGGACCGGGAAAAGTTCCTGGTGGATGATCAATCCAGACGGGGGCAAAAGCGGAAAGGCCCCTCGGCGAAGAGCCGTCTCCATGGACAATAGCAACAAGTACACCAAGAGTAGGGGGCGGGCAGCTAAGAAAAAGGCTTCTCTGCAGGCTTCCCAGGAAACCACAGAAGATAGCCCTTCCCAGCTCACCAAGTGGCCGGGCAGCCCCACCTCTCGAAGCAGCGATGAGCTGGACGCGTGGACAGACTTCCGCTCCCGAACCAACTCCAACGCCAGCACAGTAAGCGGACGCTTGTCACCCATCCTGGCGACCACTGAGCTGGATGATGTCCAGGATGACGACCCGCCGCTTTCCCCAATGCTGTATAGCAACTCATCAAGCGTGTCCCCGTCGGTCAGCAAACCGTGTACCGTGGAACTTCCACGGCTGACCGACATGGCAGGCACAATGAACTTAAACGATGGACTAACGGACAACCTCATGGATGACCTCTTGGACAATATCGCGCTCCCGCCCTCCCAGCAGTCACCATCGTCAGGACTCATGCAGAGGAGCTCTAGCTTCCCATTTACCACCAAGGGCTCAGGTCTGGGGTCTCCGTCAGGCAGCTTGAATAATGCTGTGTTCGGCCCCTCTTCTCTGAACTCTCTACGCCAGTCTCCCATGCAGACCATCCAAGAGAATAAGCCGGCCACCTTCTCTTCCATGTCGCACTACAGCAACCAGTCCCTCCAGGACCTGCTGACATCCGACTCGCTGAGCCATAGCGATGTCATGATGACTCAGTCAGATCCATTGATGTCCCAGGCCAGCACAGCTGTGTCTGCCCAGAATTCACGAAGGAATGTCATGCTCCGCAATGACCCGATGATGTCCTTTGCTGCTCAGTCCAACCAGGGAAGTTTGGTCAGTCAGAATCTACTCCACCAGCAGCACCAAACCCAGAGTCCTCTTGGTGGTAACCGTGCCTTGTCTAATGCCGTCAATAGCATGGGCTTGAGTGACACCAACAACCTAGGGTCAGCCAAACACCAGCAACAGTCACCCGCCAGCCATTCTATGCAAACCCTTTCTGACTCACTCTCAGGGTCCTCTTTGTATTCTACTAGTGTGAACCTTCCAGTCATGGGCCATGAAAAATTCCCAAGTGATTTGGACCTGGATATTTTTAATGGGAGCTTGGAATGTGACATGGAATCCATCATTCGCAGTGAACTCATGGATGCTGATGGGTTGGATTTTAACTTTGATTCCCTCATCTCTGCTCAAAACGTTGTCAGTCTGAATGTGGGGAACTTCACTGGTGCTAAGCAGGCCTCATCTCAGAGTTGGGTGCCAGGCTGAAGGACCTTTGAGGAAAGGGGGAATGGGCAAAGCAGGTCAGTGTTCCTGTAGCTGTGATGAAATTTTAAAAGGAGGGTGGATAGATCTGGGAAAAGGGGGGATTTTCATCTATTTGCCATTACTTTGATTTTTACAACACATTAGGAAGTGAGTTCTCAGGGATTTTCATAAAAATCTGGTAAGTTAGTACCAAGCCAAGTAAAGCTTTAACACGGGGTCTGCAAACAGGAAACTGGTATCTGCTGAAAGCCTTACCTGATAAGTCTCCAGGCTGGTTGCTGGTATGCTACCCTCTTCCTGGCCCTCCTGCCCTGCAAAGGTTTCCAGGGTGGAGGTAGAGGACTTTGGGGCCTCACTTGCCCCTACACTCCATACTCGAGGTCTCTGCTGTCAGTAATAGGCATCCTACTGCCACTTAACCCTCTGGTCTACTTGAAGTAGTATCAGTGAATGAGGTCTGCACCACCTCAGGCTTACCTGATTTCTTGTTTGTTTGTTTTTCTTTAAATGTGCCTTCCATCAGTTCTAAATTTAGCTATAAAACATTTTCTCAAGGCTGTAACTTTGGAGGGATCATCCCAGAAGCAAAACCTAATGGGTTATTTTTCCACAACCATGTTAGCTGTATTTTTTAAGACTTACACTGCTATTATTTTTTTTAAAGAGCGTTTGAAATCGAAGCCCTTGGTAGACCTCTGTAAATAGGAGTTGTTATTATTCAGTTCCTCTACCTCCCCCACCTTACAAAACAAATAATCAGTCAGGCAACAAGTGTTTACTATGTGCCAGCCACTAGGGGATAATCTTGAGGAGCTTACGTTCTAACAGAGGAAATATGTACTTTCTGTACACACTATACATGTACAGACTGTATACACATGGATAGATAGCGTAAATATAAAGCAAATAAATACAAATACAGAGTGTCTCAAAAATCTTAGTAGTTTTAATAACTCTTAAGGGTGTCCCAAAAGTCTTAATGAAATTTTAATAAATCTGTAAAGTGATTTAATGCCATTTTGGGTGGGAACACACAAGCAATTTCGGGGGAGGGGCTGGTCTGGTCAGGAAAGGCTTCATGCAGAAGATGGTTCCTGAGCTGTGTTTTAAAGGAAGAGAAGAAGGACTTTGTGAGGAAGACATGCATTCCAGTTATTCACTCAGTGAATGAGCATTTATTTAGGGCTTACTATGTGCCAGGTGCTATGTTAAGTGGTTGGGATACAAAGAAAGGGAAAAAACATTCCCTGCCCTCAGGGGAGTTCACTCTTTCATAGCAAGAGTTCACTCTCTCAACACCATGGCGGTTGAAAAGGGATGGATTGGGATTAGGAGTGTTCCAAGAGAAGGCCTGTTTAGCTGGATCATAGAGCTAGGGAAGGAGAGGCTGGAAAGCTAAGGCTACGGTGTATGACTTAGACACGGAATGGAAACTAGTCTTAAGACTTCCCAAACTTTTTGTGCCATAGCAATTTTTTGTTGTATTATATCTACAAGGCAAAACATAAAGAAGACTTTTCACCCAATGCCAAGGTGGTAGCCAGACTTTGGAAGTTTAGCTACCTTTCACCTTCCTATGGCAAGAGGTCTGGGCTCAACAGAAAGGTGCAAATTAAAAAAAGAGAAATGATCAGTGATCATAGGAACTCAGAGGTCACCTAATATTGATTAACTATGAGGACAGTCCGTCAGTAAACACTGATTAAGTGTGTACTGTGTACCAGGAACTGTGCTAGATCTCTGAGGACACCTAGCCCAACCTCTTTGTTTTACAGATGAGGAAACTGAGTCCAAAGGAAACAGATTTTCCGAGGTTATACACAGATAGTAAGTAGAAGCAAGGCCAGGATTTGAATCCAAGTTCTTATTCATTCCAGTGTAGCTACCACTGCCTGAAAATTAAAAGCCATAACAACTTACCCTTATGTGACTCACCCTGCTGTAGCCAAGGGGCAAGCTAGGTAGCATAGTGAATAGAGCACTGGGCCTAGAGTGAGGAAGACATGAGTTCAAGTGCAGCCTTAGACACTAGCTACGTGACCCTGGGCAAGTCACTTTACACCGTTTGCCTCGGTTTCCTCATCTGTAAAATGAGCTGGAGAAGGAAATGGCCAACCCTTCCAATATCTTTGCCAAGAAAACCCCAAATGGGGAGGATTGAAAATGACTAAACTCATAAAAGCAACAATGAGCCATAGCCAAAGATTTCAGGGGTCTCTTGGAGACAAAGTGGCCCCAGAGGATGGGTGGTTATAAGTCTGGGAATGTCAGGAGCGTGATAATACTAAAACTTCTCAACTTTCCCAGGCACTGGCAAGACCCTAATGTAATTCAGACATCTGTTTTCAGTGATTTAATAGCCTTTGAGATGGTAAGGAGGCTGTAATGGAAGCTACTAATTAGGGTGACAGGCCTTCCTTCCCTGCCAGCGTGTTAATGCCTAGAGCCCACATCAGCATGATGGGACATTGACTTCAGAAGTTTACATATTTAGTTCTGGAAGACTAAATTAAATACTTTGGCCTGTGTTACAAAGCTGAGACAAATGTGTCAAAGATAGAAAAGTTTAATCTTTGGGTAGGAAGGCTTCTCTTGAGCCTATTTAAAAGAATAATTTCAAAGAATAAATATGCAAGAAAATGTATCAGTTTTCTTGGCTGATATTTCCAGCTGTTAGGAATCTTGAAAATCACCCAATCCTCATTTTTTAGATGAGAAACCTAGTTAGTTACCCAAGGTCACCCAGACAACCCATCTAAGTCCCCTCTGAGTCAAATAGTTGATTTATTTGGTTTTTTAGTTTGGTCTGATTGAAAAATATACACATGCACAGAGAACTTCTAAGGGAAAGAAACACTCCTCCATTGTTTTAAATTTTGTGGCCCACAATAGTGACAAGCAGCTAACTAAGTTTGGAAACAGGATTCTTTTTTTGCGTGGTAAATGCAGCCTCTTGGGGAGGTGATACAAACTGGGCACTCCGTCATTTTCTCCCCTCACTCCTCCCCTCAGGAAATAAACCAAAGACTCAGACTTAACTTACTTGGCTTGCAGCATGTTCCTTTGGTTAAAAGAGAAAATCATTTAATCTTAAAAATCTAAAGTGACGAGGAAGACCCAATGCCCTTTGTCTAATAGTCATTATTTAGGCCTACCTAGGAAATTACAAGGGTAGAATGGCCCTGAAAGGATCCTCACTGCTGGGCACATTATAAGTAATCCTTGGTTAATCCTTGTCCTCCCCCTCACCTCTCTCTCTTTAGGGAAGCCTTCCCTAAAACCATCATAGACCAAAAGAAAGATGGCATGGGTAGTAGAACCCATTTTTCCTTTATAAAGAAAGGATTTCTCCAGATTAAGCCCCGTGCCTACAACTCATGGCTGTAGGGTTCTGCATATCTCCTCAGGTGGCTATTCCTGCTACCCTGTGAGCATTGGGGTGCAGTAGGAAGGGTTTTTGGTATTCGAGGACCTAGGTTCAGTCCCAACCCTGCTACTTACTACCTTGAGCAAATGACTTAACCTTCCTTGGGCCTCAGTTTCCTCATCTGTAAAAATGAAGGCTTTGGACTACATGACATGCAGTGAGTGAGGTGGCATATCAGGGAGAACTCTGTACTTGGTAGTCAAGAAGACCATGAGTTCAAATCCTGCCTCAGGATTTGCCTGACTAGCTGTGTGGCCCTGAGCAAGTCACCATTCTCATTTTCCTCATCTGTAACATGGTACCCAGTAGTAGCCTCCAAAGTCTTTTCTAGCTCTGAATGAATGATGTGTTCCTCAGAGAGTTGCTTCATGTACATGATGACACTGCTTCTCACTTAGTGTATACACACACACACACACACACACACACACACACACACACATGCGTGCGCTTTTTAACTTGTGTGACCTTTGGTAAATCATTGGAAAAATCACTTTGGGCTTCATTTACTTCATCTGTAGATGAGGGCTTTAGGCTCAATGGCCCTTTTAGCTCTGAATCTCAATGATCCTATGAACAGGCTTACATGTCCTGAATTTGTCCCACCTCCAGTCACTGGAGCTGCCCCAAACAGTCCTCCTGACCTCCTGATTCGATCATTTTGAAATTGAGAAAAGTATGGGGTGAAGTTTGGAGGAAAGGGCCTGCTAGTGCTGTGAGAAATTGGAGGTGAAAGAGATTACTCTTGCATAAGTGTAGAGGAGAGGATTTTAGGGAGAGGCTTCGTGGAAGAGGTGGCCTATGAGTTGGGCCTTGAAAAAAGGGGGCTTGTCAGATGAAAAGTGTAAACTAGTTCTGGCATTCAAAGCTACGTGAAAGTGACCTCAAATTTCTCGTGCTGCTTTAAAAAAAATGTTATTGATCTAAATGTTTAGGTTTTCCCATCACCATAATTTCCTAATATGCTACACCCACACATTTCTTCCAGCTCACCATCTACCCCAGTGCCCACCTTAACAAGGTAACAAGTGTCAAGGAAGAATTCAAATCCAGATCCTCTGGAGACAAACCTAGAACTCTTGTCAACTTTACCATGTTTATTTGTGTATATAACTTTTCTGCATTTGATTTTTTTAAATTGTTATAGATTTTTAAAAATTATCTTTGTTTCTGAATATATCTTTCCTTGCTTTCCCAACCCATCAAGCCATCCTTTGTAACAAAGAGTTTAAAAAAAAAAAAAGCAGTTCAACACAGTAGCCAATTCTGACAGTGAATGTATTATTCCACACCTGTAATCTCCTATCTTGGCCAACATTTTCTCAACTCTACTCTGTGGCTAAACTTCTTGGTCATAGTAAATTCATGGTCACTGTAAATACAGTGTGGGGTAGTTTTCCACTGTGGCTTGGGTAAGCCAATTAAGACTGGCCCTAAACATTAACCCTGTGCCCAAAATTGCTTTCTAGGCCAGCACTGACTTTTGAAATAGATTGTGTCGCAGTGCTTTGTAAATGCGCTACTTAAAACTGAGTTGTTTTGTTTTGTTTTTTTCTTTTTTAGAAACAGCCATATTATGTGATGGTTCCCAGGCCAGCCCTCACAAATCCATTTAACTACTAATGAACTTGAAATTTGCCCACTAAAATCTTCTTCTAGTACCTTATTTTTTCTGTTCATCAGTCAATCAATAAACATTTACCCAGCACCAACTGGGTGCCAGGCACTGTTAACCCTGATGATACAAAAAGAGGCAAAAGACACTTCCTGCCCTCAAGGAGCTTTGCAGTCTAATGGTGGAGAGATAATAAGCAAAGAAATATGTGCAAATAAGCTACATACAGGATAAACAGGAAATAATTAAGAAGGAAGACATTAAATAAAGAGGGGTTAGGGCTTACTATAGCCTGGAAGTGACCTTGGTCTCTCAAAAGTTCTGGCTTGGCTTCTACCAAGATAGAAGAACTTCAGATGTAGGCCCAGCGATGGATTATATGGCTCTCAGAGGACCCAGTGTGGCTAAATTCAGAGAGGCTCATCACTAGTGTTGACTACTGGGTAATTTATTTGGTCACAACTGCTCCTTAAACTATCATTGGCTTTTAGATTTAGCCCTGGAAGGGGCCTTAGAAAGCCATCTAATTAATCCTGTCGTTTTCCAGATGAGGGAATAGAAGCCTAGAGAAATTAAGCTATTTGCCCAAGTTCTCACAGCTAGAAAGGGGCTGACTCAGGATTCAAACTTGGGTTCCGGAGTCCAAGACTAGCACACTTTCCCCCTGTACTGTACTGTCTTAGGACAGTGTGATGGGGCCCACATACATAAAGTCACTCATCCTTTGACATTTAAAGGCCTGAAAAAAAGTATCGTGCCATGCTAGGAGTCCCAGGGAAACTTTGCACTCTGTAGGATGAATATTTCTGTTGGGGCATCACAGTCCTAACTCCAGCTGCCAAGGAAGTAAGAACTCTTGCCATGGTGGTAGCAGAAATGGGGAGTGGGGCAAGGAGGCTTGAGGAACCAGGAGGTCATCTGCCTATCATCTCTTTTCTTTCTTCATGATGAACCCAGGAACTGGCCTCCCTACCTCCATTTCCATATCTACCATCTGTCACTTCCTGCTAGGGTTTTGTCTGCTTCACTGGTCCCCTGCAGGACAGAACACACACGGTCTCTTGTTTTCTTGTTCCTGGATAGGATCATGGAATTAGGTCTGGATGAGAAACCTCAGAGGTCATGTTGTCCAACTCTCCTTGTTTTCTAAATGAGGAAACTGAGACCCAGGCAGGTTAAAAATGAATTGCCCAGCCACAGAGCACCAGACTCGATCCCATCCTGGACTGACACTAAAATGAGGTGGGTAGTATAATCAGACCTACAGAGCAGGGCTAAGCAACTATTAGGTTTGCAGTACTTAGGCAGAAAGCATGGAAATGCCCAGCAGTAGCAACTGAGAGGATGCTCACAGCAGATGTATCCTTCCCCCCCCCCCGCTCCTTTAAGATTTACAAATAGCTTTCCTCAGAACAACCCTAGGAAGTAGGTAGTATCATCCCTATTTTTAAAGACAAGAAACTAAGACATCGTGTGGTAAAGTGAGCTGTCCAGGTGCATACAGCTAATGAGCCAAGAACAGAGCGTCAGTGAGGCAGTCTGATCCAACAGGGAATTTTTGTGACTTGTGCAGTTGTTTCAGTCACGTCCAACTCTTCATGACCCCATTTGAGGTTTTCTTGGCAAAGATACTGGAGTGGTTTGCCGTTTCCTTCTCCAGCTCATTTTACAGATGAAGAAACTGAGGCAAATAGGATGAAGTGACTTGCCCAGGCTCACACAGCTAGTAAGTGTCTGAAGCCACATTTGAAGTCAGGTCTTTCTGGCTCCAGGTCCAGTGCTCTATCCATTGTACCATTTAGCTGTAATAATGCTCTGTATTTTATATATTTAAATTCTTTGTTACAAAGGATGGCTTGATGGGTTGGGAAAGCAAGGAAAGATGTTCAGAAACAAAGATAACTTTTAAAAATCTATAACAATTTTAAAAAATCAAATGCAGGAAAGTTATATATACAAATAAACATGGTACAAGGGAGATGATTTAAAAACATTATGAGAAGAGGTCCATAAGCTTTACCAGATTGCCAAAGAGTCCAGAACCTAGAAGTTCCAAACACCTGCTTTAGTGCTTTCAGATTTGCAAAATATTTCAAGAAATTAATCACAAAGCATTTATTAACCACTTTTATGTGCCAGGTACTGTAGTACTTAGTGTATCCTACATGATCTTTACAAATGTTATTTCATTTGATTGTCACAATACCCCTGTGAGGTAGATGTTATTATTATATATATTATCATTATGTTGTTATTATAATATATTTTATCGTTGTTATTGTGTTCAACCACAGATAAAGAAACTGAAACTCAGACTGGCTAGATGATTTTCCCAGAGTTACACCAATAGTAAGTGTCTGAATCAGAATTTGAACCCAGACTTTCAGGGGTTCAGTTGGCTTTCTATTATGCCATATGTGCCTCTTATTACAAACCTGGTGTGTTTGTTGCACGTTATTCATTATATAGCACCAGTGAGAGAGCCCATGATTAAGCATCATAGTAAGGGAATGGTAGTTTTGCAAGATGCAGGTTATTTATTTTGGATTTCTTTCCTGCCTGCTTCCCAGAAGTTGCTTCGTTGAGCTGTTCCAGTTATCTTTTTCTGTTTGTTTAATGTTGGGTTTAGGACTGGCATACACCAGGTCAGTGTTGCCTTTTCTTCAGGTGGTTATTTGCATTCCAAGGAGGCACGATTTGACCTCTCTGGCTATAGCCAGAGTCTCTGCAAAGTGGCCCCTTGCTGGGTCTCAGGCTGCTTGTGCGTGCCTCCCAGTCTACAGCCTCTGCCTTGAATAGACTTTCCTGAAGAAAGATGCTTTTCCCTCTCCAGGAACCCTCGTTCACCACAGGCTTTTCAAAAGCCCAGAGTCTGAACTTTCGTCATTCAGAAAGGGAAGAGTTGTCTGGGTCTTTCTCATTGCTGGCAACCAAGAAAGTTGATACAGCTGTAGGAAAGAGTTTTCCTATGGAGGGGCCTGGCGTTCTAATTTAGGGACGTTGTTTTCCCCAAGGCTCTGGCATCCCCCACTTGAGGACTACTACTGTTCTAGCCTCTGATGCTCATGGCATTCTGTGCATCCGTCAGTGAAGAAGCCACTACTCTCAGATAACCTTGGACCTGTCTGCTGAGTCTAGGGGCTATAAATAGCTCCTTAGGCTTCAGATTATCGTTGTTAAACCTAGCTTCCTGGAAGGGGGAGGAGGAGATAGCCTGTATTGGTAAGAGGGCCTCTTGTAAAGAATAAATGGCTGAGTTACTGCATAATTGTTACTTTCCTGGATTTGGGCATGGAGTGAAAAATTTCTCATAAATGCCTTTTGGGAAGTTTTCTCAATTGCAAAGCAAAGGGAATAATTTTTGCATGGACCAGTTTCAAACCTAGATATTCATAAGCAGTTGATAGGCTCTTGGTAGAACACCTGCTGCTCATCACACCCCAAGCCCCCACATCCCCCATTACTGGGGCATGCAGACATTTCATGCTTGCCTATGTGTGTGATGCACCTTCAGACCAACTCTGCTTTCAGTGGGAATGAGAGAGTGGTTGTCATGGTGCAGCCTGGCATTGCCAACTCACCAAGCCTGATAGCCCCAAGGGCTCCGGGGGCATGCCCCAAGGAGATTGCCTGGCTATCATCACCAGAGAATTGTAATCGTTATCACAGGATCGGAGCTCAGAGGGGGAAGGGGCCTTAGAGGGCTGAAGTGGCTTGCCTAATATCACACAGCTGATAAATTGCTGTGCCAGGACTTCACTCCTCCCCTGCCCTCACCCTCTATCTTCTTATTTCAAATTTAGTGCCCTTTTCACTGTTCCAGCCCACAGCTGAGCTTCAGACTTTGCCCCATCTTGGTGATTCCCAACCTTTCTGCAGTTCGAAGAAGCCCATTTCTGGTTAACTTGCCACCTCCTCAGTTCTTCCTCCTTCCTGCAAAATACTGTAGTATGACATATATTTTTTTTGAATGTGAGTAAAAATTAATTTTGCTTTGCAAATCTATCCCACCCCACCCCACCCTTTGAAGTAATTGTAGACATGCTAAGTCTAATAGGGATGGGGAACCTTTAGAGTTTATTTTTTTATTTTTATTAATTTATTTTTAATTTATGGAATAAAACAAGCATTTTTATAACATAGTATAATAAAAAAATGATTGCACATAAAACTGCAAATCTGTTATGTACAACTTGCTATAAGAATTTCAGACCCTCACCTTCAGTCTCTGCACTGAATTTTTTTCATCCTTTCTAGTGCTTGAAATGCTCTAGAATGCCAAGAAGACACACACCTTTCTCCTTAAGAAATCCCTATCCTAAACTGGCAGAACGTGGGCATAGAGCATAGTATTTGTCTCTGTAAAAAGCTATGGGACAAATATCGTAAGGTCTTTGTTGGCTCCAGCCTCTTTGACAAAATTCATGGATGTCTTATTCCAGCTGGGTCCAATCCACAGCCCTTCTTTCTCAATCAGTTACCCTAGGCTAGTCTAGCCTGAGAAGTGCTGTTGATTTAAGAGGCCTTGCCGATGAGATGATCCTTATAGGTTTATCAGTTTTGTTTTTGACATGGAAGCTGCTTCCTCTATCAGTGTAAGTTGGCACTTTTCTCTGAACCTTACAAAAATAGAGTTGCCCAAGAAATTAAATGATATGCTGATGTGTCTAAGGTAGGACTTGAGCCTAACTCTTCCTTCCTCCAAGGCCAGCTCTTTCTCTCTTCCATGCTGCCTTTAAGGTTTAACAATGCCTAATTGTTTCATTGGTGTTATTAAAAGCAGCTACTTGGTGAAGTGGATAGAGGACCAGCTCTGGAGTCAGGAGGACTTGAGTTCAAATTCAGCCACATTTGCTTACTAGTTGTGTGACCCTTGGCAAGTCACTTAACTCTGATTGCCTTCCCTCCTCCCCGCACAAAAAAAAAAAAGACATCTAAATTAAATGAGTATACTTCAGCAAATTGCAAGATGAAGGAAATATGAAGAACAGCCAGCCTTATGCCTGGATGCTTCAGTAATCTGGAATCCTTCAGGGTTTCTTTAACAATAAAATTATGAAAATTGCCTGATTTTGAGTGGGGTGAGGTTTAATGAAGCACTTCCTAGTAGTATTTCCAGGTCCCCTTTGATACGGCTGTAAAGGGAGACAGACAGGTACTTATTGATCAAAGAGGAAGGAGGGAGTGGGCTGGTTGTTCTGGACCTAAATTGGTTTATTAGGGTCTTTAAAACAGTGCTTGATAAAGAAAATCTTAATTAAGACTGGTGAGTGCACATTAGTAATCAACGCATCCTAGCCATTCCTGCTTATATCCAGAAAAATGTAAGCTTCCTGAGGGCAGGGACTATTTTTTTTCTTCGTATGCCGACCGCGTAGCATTGCATACTATAGGCACTTAATAAGTGCTTGTGAATTGAATGCATATTAAAAACTCCATTTCATCACCTTCAGGAAAGTGTATCACAAGAGAATCCTAGTCCTATCCCTCTTCCATTATACCTGTTCTCCCAGAATCTCATCCAACTCCCTCAAAAGAAAGGTTTTTCATACCCCTGTTGCTGAGACCTCAAATCACTTGCTGTATTTGGCATCATTTTTCTGTTTCCCTAGAAGAGCAAAACCTGCCTGTGGAGCCTTGGCTATGGTAGATCCCTTCATTGATTACTTCTAGTTTTGGGTTTGGGTTTTTTTCTTTTTTTTTTTTTTTGTGTAAGAAAATCAGACAGTAGAAATTTTTACACTTCCCTCCCCTAGCAGTAGAAAGGCATGGAAGGCTGATTATAATTTCCAGATGTTAAGCTTTTCTCACAGCTTCTCATTTTTCATTGACTGGTGTAGTGGGGAAAGCCCAAGACTTGGAATCAGAAGACCCGAGTTTGAATTCTCCCTCTAACACTAGTTGGGTGACCTTTGGGCAGGTCACACCTCCCCAAGGCTCAGTTTCTTCATCTATAAAATAAACATGGTTAATATTTGCACTATTTACCTTTATGGAGTTGTGTGAGGACAGTGCCTTATGAACCTTAAAGTACTTCAGAAATATGAGTGACTATTCAACATTTGAGATTAAGATGTAGAAATTACTTTTGCTTAGTATAAAAGTCCCAGAGAGTAATACTCTGTGTATCTAAGAAATAAAACTAACTTCTAGTCATGGCATGATGCAGGCTCCTTACAAATAGAGATGGTTTCATTCTTTGGGCCTGGTACAGTAGTAGTAGTTTAGTAAATACTCATAGGCATAACCATCTTTTTTTGTTGTAAATATAGATAGCTGGAATATAAGATAACAAAGTGCACCTACATACACACACAAATGTATGTGGGTGGGTGTGTATTTATATTATTTTACATGCTTGTATGAAAACTTAATGATGGGTATAGTTTGATTCCTTGAGGAAATTGAGAATGTGGAAGGAAAAGACTAGTGGATGAAGTCTGAGGGGGGATTTTCAATTTATTTTCATTCAGACCTTTTTTTCATACTTGACCACTGCAAATAATAAGGATCACAAATAGTCAATTGAATCTTCAAATGATTGGACAGATCCAATACAGATTTAGGTGCCTTAGGATAATCAATAAGTGATTGTTGGCTGATAAATGAGGCAGCATATACTCAACATCATCGTCATTACCAGTCTAAGCAGGTTAAAATGCCTCCTCCTCTCTTCACCTCTTTTCTTTGACCTTTTGGGCAGCAGGTTTACCTCCTAGGCCCATTGAGAATTCAGCTGGGATGGTCCCAGCTAGTCTACTGCCAGTCCATTCACTGCTGGTAATGTTGCTAACCCATTTTTGATTTGAAATCTGGGGCATGGATTTTTATCACAACTTGTAATCTGTATTCCAGTTGAATCCACTGACAGAGAAGGGTTCTTTTCCTCATTATCATGGTGTACCCTCCACTGTCCCTTTTTATCTGTATTCATTGTTTTCCATATTTTTTTCTCCCTTGGATTGGGGGGGTATGTGTAGCCATGTCAACAGCTGTTTTTTGGCTGCATCCTCAGAGAATATTCTCAGTGCTGGCCCTTGGCGTGCTACTAAGTAATTAAGTCTAGGATTCCTTTCAGAACCACTTTTAGTGTGGCTTGGGAAAATTAATTCACATATGGCTTTAGTACCCTTCAAACACTTACCAGCCATGCTCAACTCTAGCCATGGAATGAGTCTCTCCTTTTAATGTCAGGACCTCTCCAAACCAAATATTATGCAATTAGGCATTACTAGTCATCACCATTGATGAGGATGTGGGGCACCCCAACCTTCAAGGGGCAGTAACATTCATGTTCCATTCATTACTCAAGCAGTTGACAACTCCCGCTTAGCCAAGGGATTTTCATT